AGCTGTCACCCCTGACCTCTGACCCCTGAACCTTGACCGTGTTTAGGTCAAGCTTGAACTCGAGGAGCAACGCACTGCAAAAATAATCCTGTCCAAATTAAAACTGTGAACCTCTCAATCTCTCTCCCCTCTCTCTCTCTCTCTCTCTCTCTCTCTCTCTATCATTCTCTCTGTCACATCCATTACTTTTTGCCAATATATTATTCTATTTGTCATTCCATACGACCTAGTCGTTCACACGTAACATGTATGTTATTTACAAAGGTAATCTCTTTATCACTGTGTATCATACCATGTCTGTAACAGATTTGCTTTTACATTCTCCACAGGACTCTCCGGCCTGAAAGGAGAGGCTTCAGTGCCCTAATGTGTGTCATTTAAGTTATTTTGGATACACAGGAGGGAGGCTGTGGGGGCTAAATATAGACAATGGGCAGGGGGAGGGAGAGGGAGAGGGAGAGGGAGAGAGATTGTAGTGAGGAGGAAAATAAGAAAGGGTTAGCTATTTAAATATAACTGTGGTTATCATAACAGGCATTCTATAAGAGTTCAGGATAGGATAGGCTTCGGGACTAAAGGGCCCTTATCTCTCCATAACAGCAGCAATGCACCACTATCTGCTGAGAGAGAAGTTGAGACAGTCACGACTGAATCACAATGACACAAATCACAACTAGGCTACATCATTGTGCACTATCGTAGGCTCAGGCTGCAGAGAAAGCATTATGTTTATCCTAATAGTAATACAAAGTTATTGTGTTGTTAGTGAGTCACAAATATTTAAATCACAACTACTCAGTATCATATTATCTGTTCAGGCTGCAGATAAAACTATCGTTTTCCTAATCTAGATGTGTTGTGTTGTTAGTTGACATTGTTTTGTTTGGGCAAAAAGAGATGACTTGAATAAAATACACTTGGACATCATCAAGTTGACCTTGGCCGAGTGGTGCGTAATAGTTATTGCACTCTACAACCAGTAGGTGGTGATAGTGTACACGGCTGTTGCACCAACGCTCTGAATCAACACACATTTTCAGTACTACAGGGAGATACACTATTACACTGTATATACAAAAGTATGAGGACACACCTTCAAATCAGGGAATCACACAAGCTCACAGAATGGGACCGCTGAGTGCTGAATTGCGTAGCGCGCAACACTCACTCAATGGGCCTTTTCCTATATTTTCCATGGATGGAGATAGGGATTTGGCCTTCTGGTTTTACTTAATTCTCCGTACTGGCCAATGATTATAACGGCGATTCTGATCCAACCATTAATTCATACATTGTTGTGTCCCTGGCATGAGAGGATGGAAGTTCAATATGTAGCTAGGTGTAGAAGGCTAATGTTAACTAGCTAACTTTGCCCATGAATGGAAGTTAGGCTAGCAAGCAAGTATTTTAGCCAGGTAGCCTAGGACAACAAAAAATAAAAGCGTGTACTGTATGACAGTGATAGACTGTTTTGTCAACATGAAAGAGAGAAGGATGGCATTGGCGTTTCTCTACAAGTAGGGTGAGTCAACATGTTTTTCTACTTGCACGAGCGCGCGCACACACACATACACACACACACAGACAGACACACACAGAAATCAGAACCATGGACAGCCACATTATATTTAGCTTACGTTGATTGGACTAAATTGTTTTTGGTATCTTTTAGTTGTCACTGCATTAGACTAAGCAGAGGTGATTTTGTATTTGTATTTATTAAGGATTCCCATTACTCTTCCTGGGGTCCAGCAAAATGAAGGCAGTTATACAATTTTAAAAACATACAACACATTCACAACATATTTCAAAACACATTCACAACACACCAAGTGTGTGCCCTCAGGCCCCTACTCCACTCCCACATATCTACAACACAAAATCTATGTGTAGGTGTGTATAGCTCTTATGTTATCGTTTTTGTGTATGCATGTGTCTATGCCTGTGTTTGTGTTGAGTCACAGTCCCCGCTGTACCATAAGGTGTATTTTGATCTGTTTTTTAAATCGAATTGTACTGCTTGTGTAACAGATGTATATCGTACTCTCCTTGCGTTGTGTTTTCTCCTAATAAATCACATCAGCCACTGGTCCCAGTTGAGCATCATTTATTTCTGTTGTTAAAGGGGAAACAGCACGTTAGTTGTGCAGAGCTTAACGATATTGATGGCTGTCGATGGCAAAATCCCTTGCATCACATTTTCATACTGGGCGAACAAAATACAAAAATACAATACAAAATATAACATGTGTAAATACCTGTTGTTAAATGGGAAACAGCACGTTAGTTGTGCAGAGCTTAACGATATTGATGGCTGTCGATGGCAAAATCTGTAGCATGAAGGCAACTGTGTTAGCAGTGGGCTTATGTGACCATTACGTCGGTGTATGCTAGCTAACACACTTATCTACAGCAATCATATGCCAAAGCACATCCCAGAAAGCCCCTCAATCCCTAACAGGTACCATATACCCACACATGTATACATCAGTAACGTACAGCAACCTTGTACACATTGTAAAATATAAAACAGTATTCAGAACATTACCTACCCCTTGCATCACATTTTCATACTGGGGAGACCTGACGTTCACGATCTCCCCCTAGCTGCAAGCGGGGCCAATCACAACACGCCTTATTGTCATCAGAGTTGAACCAACCAATAAGAATGCTTGAACATTAAATACACATTTATTTAGAGGCAAGTGGAAACATAACCAACCCTGTTACACTTGCATGAGTTACTTGATGTGGAATAGAGTTCCAAGTAGTCATGTCTCTATGTAGTACTGTGTGCCTCCCATAGTCTGTTCTGACTGTGAAGAGACCTCTGGTGGCATGTCTTGTGGGGTATGCATGGGTGGCCGAGCTGTGTGCCAGTAGTTCAAACAGACAGCTCGGTGCATTCAACATGTCAATACCTCTCACAAGTACAAGTAGTGATGAAGACCATCTCTCCTCCACTTTGAGCCAGGAGAGATTGACATGCATATTATTAATGTTAGCTCTCTGTGTACATCCAAGGGCCAGCCGTGCTGCCCTGTTCTGAGCCAATTGAAATGTTCCTAAGGCCCCCTTTGTGGCACCTGACCACATGACTGAACAGTATTCCAGGTGCGACAAAACTAGGGCCTGTAGGACCTGCCTTGTTGAAAGTGCTGTTAAGAAAGCAGAGTAGCGCTTTATTATTGACAGATTTCTCCCCATTGTAGCAACTGTTGTATCAATATGTTTTGACCATGACAGTTTACAATCCAGGGTTACTCCAAGCAGTTTAGTCACCTCAACTTGCTCAATTTCCACATTACAAAATGTAGTGAATGATTTGTCCCAAACGCAATGCTTTTAGTTTTGAAATATTTAGGACTAACTTATTCCTTGCCACCCATTCTGAAACTAACTGCAGCTCTTTGTTAAGATTTGATGATGTTGAAGTTGAAATGGTGCTGGAATAGTGGAGGCAGCTCCTGTTTTCTTTGCGACGTGCAGTAACTCTCTGTGGCTCTAAATCAATAGTTGTTTAGTGGTCCGAAAATGTCGTAAACTTTAACTTGCTTGACCATGCTGTAGGTCATGTAACTGTCTTGTTAATGTACATGCAATATGCTTTGTGGACTTCACTGGACAGAGGTTGCTGGTTTTGTGATCAAACAAAGGTGTGGTGAATCTATTCTGCCACTGTGTCTTCTTATTGTCTCTGCCTTTAGGCCTATATATCACGGTCGCAAGGCATATTAATTAATTATTGAACTATTACAACACATAGGTTGTAATGCGGATTTCTTTTTTGGGGAGGATGCTTGGCTTCCCCAGTGATTTTACCCACACACAGCTACTGCCCCGTGAACAAAGCGAGGTCCATACAGAAATTGTTTGTGGAGATCGGTGTGGAAGAACTTGACTGGCCTGCACAGAGCCCTGACCTCAACCCCATCGAACACCTTTGGGATGAATTGGAACGCCGACTGCGAGCCAGGCCTAATCGTCCAAAATCAGTGCCCGACCTCACTAACGCTCTTGTGGCTGAATGGAAACAAGTGCCTGCAGCAATGTTCCAACATCTAGTGGAAAGCCTTCCCAGAAGAGTGGAGGCTGTTATAGCATCAAAGGTGTCCACATACTTTTGGTTGCGTAGTGTAACTGGTGGGATAAGTCTACTACTTTGTCAGACGAATTAAAACATTACAAAACATCAACTCATATAATTCATGCTCACCGCAACGGTAGCGTGGCCGAGCGGTCTAAGGCGCTGGATTAAGGCTCCAGTCTCTTCGGGGGCGTGGGTTCGAATCCCACCGCTGCCAGTACTTTTTTCTTTATTGAAATGTTCATTAAAAATAATATTTCATATACGACTATAATCTATGGTATATTTCCTTTAATGTGCAAAAGTCACTCACGTCATTACAAAATGTAGTTTTGTATTTCCAGAACGCGTTTCTCGAGTGGTGCATTGTTCGTACTTTTTAAACCTGCGGCAGTCCGTAGTGTATTGATTCTTTAGCAGAAAACGTGTTGTCAAGGCTAGGTATAGAAACACAACACGATTCACTCTTTCCGGATAAAGATCAACATTTACAGGTATCTACACTTTATTTGCACGTTGTCACGTTGATAACAAGCTATAATTTGTAAAGGAGGGAGTGGGACACGGGTAGCTTTGTAGTTAGCAAGCTAACTTTGGTCTTTCGCGCAACGACAACGAGTTGTCTCTGCACTCTGTCGCGTTCCATTTACTATATCCTTGCATTGAAGCAAAGATGTTGCTGGATAACTTGTATGTGTCTGTGCAGGGTGCCATTACTCCAAAATAGGAAAACGACGTTTGAGTACTTTGTTTAATGCCAGACTAGCTCTTGTCCACGCGAATGCGTCAGTGCGTGAAGTTAATTGAAATCCGACGCATGCGCGCTGACCAGAGCTAGTTACTCTAGCTCCTGTCTTATTGTTTGGCTTTCCTCTTCCTCCATCCAACTAAACGTTGCTACCTAGCTAACACGATGAAGCCGCCCTCTCGGCCTCGAATACAACCGACGCGCTATGTGAACAAGAAGACCGAAAAGACTGTCTCGAACCGAAAACCAAAGTTCGCGTGCACGGGATGGAGTCGGACAGAACAACAGGTCCTGCTGCGGTGCCTCAACAAGCAGAACAAGATGACCGGCGGGATCCACGGGGCAATAGACCTAGAGGCCCTGCACGAGAAACTTCCCAAGCAGTCCACAGAAGAAGTAAGTTTGCTAGATAGCTAAGTTGTGCATTTCAAATGGAGGTCACTCTCATTCATTGTGTGTGTGTGTGTGTGTGTGTGTGTGTGTGTGTGTGTGTGTGTGTGTGTGTGTGTGTGTGTGAGAGCGAGAGAGTTGTGTGTATTTGCGTTGTTTGTTTGTGTTTCTGTGTGAAAGTGAGTGTGTGTGTCTGTCTGTCCAGTTCTGTACTATATGTTCATACACAACACACCAATTAGTGTTTCTCTTCCATCCAATCTCCCTCCCAGATCCAGTCCCAGTTGGAGTCTCTGATGATGCGTGTGCTGAGAGCGGTGGTGGGTCAGGTGAAGAGGCAGAGGTCTGAGCAGAAGGCAGCCCTGAAGCCCATCCAGCTGTGGGCTGAACTTGCCAATGATATGGCTGGAGCTTTGGAGGAACCCATCACCTCAGCCTTCGCTCAGGTCTGTTCAGTTATATATAGTACACAATACCATGTCTTCAAAGGGAAGGGGAAAGTATCTCACAAGGGACAATTATGTTAGAAAACAGTGCAAACATATGGGCTACAACATTAGGTTTAAATATTAAGAGAATAGTCAAGATAGAAAATTACAAACTCTCCCTCTCTCTCCATGTCCCATCTCCCCTCTCTCGCTCTCTTCCCTTCTCCCCCTCTCCCTCAATCCTCTCTCCAGATGCTAGTCATCTCAGCCACAGAGCCTGGCAGCCTGACCAACTCGGACCCGCCTCGAGAAGACTACCTCCCTAAGCAACAACGCTCCAACTTCAAGACCATCCCACCTAGACCCATACCCACCCCAAAACCCCCAGCCCCCACAGGGGCATCTAACAGCCCTATAGTGTTTAACATTGCTTCTACACCCCAACCACCACCTGCAGTCTCCGTACCAGTCTCTGGTGTTCCCACCGCCCCCACCACCCAGCTGTCCACAATAAACCCTGGTTCTGGTGCGTCCAAACAGAGAGGCAGAACCACTACACCAGCCTCTACGGTTGGAGTCCTAGCCCAGCCTGGTTGCTCTAACTCAAGCATCCTCAGTCAGATTCAAGCAGGGGATGCCATGTCCAGTGTGCTTACTGTACCAATGCCTGTACAGTCCCCATCTGCCTCATCGTCTGGTCCTACTACAACACTTCAGTCCCAGTCGGTGCCACAAGGTGGCGCTCGCGGTCAGACCTTCACATCCAACGTCCCTTCCACTCAGCTGGCAGTGATGTCCTCTCCTGCCGCTGCCGGTGTGTCAACACAACAACAACAGCCCTCTGCTGCAGCCTCCTCTACTAGGCCTCAGCATCCCGGGGCTGGGCCAAGGAAAAGTAAACATGCGGATGAGAACACTCCTAGATACACAGGCCTGGGGAGCATCGTGGACTTTGAGAAGATCTATCGGTTCTTGAGTACGGTCCACGTGCAGAGTGAATGTTTCAGACTGACTCCTATGGGTGAGTTGATAGCTATTGTTGGCGGGGCGGGGCGGGGGTGTCAATTATACACTTTTTACCTTAAGACAGTCCTCAATGATAATCTGATTTCTTCTACATGGCTTAAAAGCTATCTTGTTATCTGGGTTGGGGTCAATTCCATTTTAAATTCCAGTCAATTCAGAAAGTAATCCAAATTCCAGTTGAACATTTTCCCAATTGAAAAGTGTAGAAGATTTCTGTGTAGTTCCTGAATTTACTGGAATTTAAATGGAATTGACCCCAACCCTGCTCGTTATACAACTAACTGATTGTAAAGATAGATTTGGGTCAAGTGGATAACACATTAGAGCACTAGGCTATTTCAAATGTGGTCATCATGCTCTGTCACATTCATATGTTGCAAAAGGATTGTCCAGTCTGCCCCATTTCCTCATCATATTCTTCTTCTTGTTCCTGTTCTTCTTTTCCTTCTTTTTCCCCAGAAAGTGCTATATTACTGGACCTGCTGATGTCTCTGCCTGAAGAGCTCCCCCTCCTGGACTGTGCCAGACTGCAGCACCACCTGCTCCAGGTACTGTACACTCAAAACTACAGATCTAGGATCAGATTGCCCTGCTGATTTAGGATCAGTTTTGCTTTTTAATTCATAATGAATAAGACCTGGAACTTTATCCACAAAGCATCTCACGGTAGTAGTGTAGATCTAGGATCAGTTTTGCTTTTTAATTCACAAGGAATAAGAGTTGGGACCTGATCCTAGATCAGCACTCCTACTCTGAGACCCTTTGTGAGTACGGGCCCAGGCCTAGAATTACAGATGGGTCATAGATCTCCACCTCACTCATTTCTGTGTGAGGGGGTTTGCCCTTTTGCTAGTGAGTCCTCTCCACCATCATTCATTTTCTCTCTTTAATATATTATTTCCACCATCTCTCCCTTTTTGAGATATATTTGACATTACTCATCTAATGTTTTCTTCTCACCCCTAGGTCCATGAGCGGTTCTCAGCCCCGGTTCCCAAGGTGTTCCGGGGGGGCCCCAGTACTGGGAGGCCCTGGTCCTCGGCGGCGGGAGGAGAAGGAATGAAAGCGGGAGATCAAAGAAGACAAGATGGAGGAGCAACACTTGTTGCTGTGACAACGCCCCCAAGTCAAGATGCTGGAGACAAGGTGGGGACCTCACTTCAAACACAACAGGAGAGTCAGGTAGAAGGAGGGAGAGGTGGGGCTATTAGTGGGTTGCCAGATGGTCAGGGAAGTGATGGGATGGAATGTGCCTTAACCAATCAGGGTGTGGCTGCAACGGTGGTGCCTGTCAACCTGGTCGCCGGGTGTTCCAATTCTGTTGCTAAGGATGGGGCTGTGCCGTTGCAGGGGAGTACAAAGGAAAGAGCAGGAACTGAGACTTTCGCACCTTCACAGGACAATGGACAAGCCCATGGACAAACGCCCTCGACCAATGACGCGTCAGCAAAGTCAGGGACGGCTATGCAAAGGAAACCTGACTGGGAGAAGGCGGGACTCTGTCCCCTTAACCCCTTCATGGTGCCTTTGAAACTGTTGGCACGGCAACAGATCCAGTCAGTGGAAGAGGTGGTGTTACAGTAGCCTCCATTTTGTTCATATTCATATTTTGAGAGGAAATAGCTGACAATCTTGAGGATTTCATAGCATGTTCTTATGCACTTGATTAGTAAAAATATATAGTCATGTTACAGCAGTACTTAATACGTTATTTAATCAGAAATGTCTCACTTTAACCTTCATTCATGGTTCATTTGATTGTGGTTTGTGAATTTTATCAGTTGCAATTATTGTTCTATTTGTGTCAATATTATATCTTTAAAACAGAATTTGCAATTGAATGGTTGCTTTGATATTATGCAGTTTAAACTTTTTTGTGGAAATAAATCTTTGTTTTTATTACACATTTCAAAGATGTTTTGAGTCTGCAATATCTGTTCTCTGTATGCAGACACGTTGTAAGGCCATATTATTATATACATGTGATATTACATTATTGATATTCATTCGTTTTAGCACCAAAGTTCTAAATAAGTCATGCAAATTGGCAAACTGGCATAAGTTACATCATATCATTGGTCAAACTGTTTTTGCATTTTCCCTACAAACTTCTTTGTATTTTTCTCTCAAAAAGGAATCCAATACAGATCCGGTTTGTCATATTTTTTTTTTCCGGTGGTCGATGAGGAACACTGCTTTAAAGGATGATCCACTAGAGCTCAGTGTCTTTATCTCCAGTCTGCTGATACTAAACTGTCAGGGAATATTAAAAAAGGTATCTTAAGAATGGAATAGGTGTTTAAAGTGAACATTGGCTCCTCCACAGTGTCCTTATGTAGTCATTTACTATGAAAGTACACACCAGTTTATGAAATGCAACCACACCCATTACATACAGATTTTACAGATTTTTTTTAACAGGTTGAATGAAAATGTAGACCACATGTCAAACTCAAGGCCCGCAAGCCTATTCAATCTGGCCCGCTGGTTTTTTGTCGGGAAAAAAAACTGTCAATCGATATTGAAATGACTAAAACCAAATCAAAACTTTGTAGAAATTATATAATGGACCTACATTTATAGTCTCTTCACCTTGTCAAGCTTGCTAACAATCATCGAAACGAAAGCTACACATTCAGGGAGCATTGAAAATTCAAAAAGCGATAGAGGACAATCTTTTTGCAAATTTTGATGGCAAAGAAATACAGTACAAACTCCCAAAAATAGCATTCCGTCCTTGTTTACGTGCCTTGCTCAAGGGGCACAACGGCAGGAGATGGCATCTAGTCTCGTACTGCAAGCCCACTCGGCCACCATAAGGTGGGTTAGGGTCATTCTCTGTATGATAGGGGACAAAAAATATATTTACAAATGGTCCCCCAAGCTAATCATGTTTTAAACCAGGCCAAGGTACTCTACAGATAAGGATAATTAAACATTCTTTTTTTGGAAGGGGGCGGTGTGATGCCACACTTTTAAAGTCAGACTTTGTATAACAATTGGATGTTATCCCTTTAACTAGAGTCGATGTCCGCGCCCACTCAGAAATCTAATAAGCATGATATAAAAATCCCTGTTTAAACTAGAGAGATCTGCTTTTTGCAGGGGCTGCGTCTCAATCCTCCGCAACCACCGATGTTGGCCTTCTGCACTTAAGGTGAAAGGTGGCAGTGCTACAGCTGTGTTTGTCAGACCATGAGACATCCCGAAAATCAGTCTTCTCACAAAAACGTATGTAGCGTCCGAACGGTCTATAAACTATCATGACCCCTCTATGGAAAGATGAGACTCTCACGATGGTGTTCTCTGTTTTGCTCTACGATCCCCACAAGCATCATGGGACTCATCAGAAGTTGGTACCGCCAACTTCTGTCTGTACCGTCCGAACAGTTTGGGCTACACATTAATATGAACCCTCTTTGGAACACGTACATGTCGGTCTAGGACGCTCACAAGACTCATCTGAAGGTAGCCCCGTACCAGTAAAAAACAAAAATCCCTGTTTGCCCTCAGAACAGCCTCAATTCGTTGGGCATGGACTCTACAAGGTGTCAACGTTCCACAGGGATGCTGGCCCATGTTGACTCCAATGCATCCCACAGTTGTGTCATGTTGTCTGGATGTCTTTTGGGTGGTGGACCATTCTTGATACACACGGGAAACTGTTGAGCATGAAAAACCCAGCAGCGGTGCGCCTGGAACCTACTACCATACCCTGTTCAAAGGCACTTAAATATTTTGTCTTGCCCATTCACGCTCTGAATGGCAGACATACACGATCCATATCTCGATTGTCTCAAGGCTTAAAAATCCTTCTTTAACCTGTCTCCTCCCCTTCATCTACAATGGTTGAAGTGAATTTAACAAGTGACATCAATTAGGGATCATAGCTTTCACCTGGATTCACCTGGTCTGTCTATGTCATGGAAAGAGCAGCTGTTCCTAATGTTTTGTCCACTCAGTGTATATGGAAATAGTTTAGTGCCTAAAAAAAATAATTTACAATAATTAAAAATTAAAAATCCTGCTCTTTCAGATATACATTACCAGTCAAAAGTTTGGACACACCTACTCACTCAAGGGTTTTTCTTTATTTTTTCTATTTTCTACATTGTATAATAATAGTGATGACATCAACACTATGAAATAACACATATGGAATTATGTAGTAACCAAAAAGTGTTAAACAAATCAAAATATATTTTAGATTTTAGATTCTTCAAAGTAGCCACCCTTTGCCTTGATGACAGCTTTGCACACTCTTGGCATTCTCTCAACCAGCTTCCTGAGGAATGCTTTTCCAACAGTCTCGAAGGAGTTCCCACATATGCTGAGCACTTGTTAGCTGCTTTTCCTTCACTCTGCGGTCTAACTCATCCCAAACTATCTCAATTGGATTGAGGTCGGGTGATTGTGGAGGCCAGGTCATCTGATGCAGCACTACATCGCTCTTCTTGGTCAAATAGCCCTTACACAGCCTGGAGGTGTGTTTTGGGTCATTGTCCTGTTGAAAAACAAATGATAGTCCCACTAAGCGCAAACCAGATGGGATGGCGTATCGCTGCAGAATGCTGTGGTAGCCATGCTGGTTAAGTGTGCCTTGAATTCTAAATTAATCCCTGACAGTGTCACCTGCAAAGCACCCCCACACCATCACTCCTCCTCCTCCATGCTTCACGATGGGAACCACACATGCAGAGATCATCCGTTCACCTACTCTGCGTCTCACAAAGACACGGCGGTTGGAACCCAAAATCTCAAGTTTGGACTCATCAGACCAAAGGACAGATTTCCACTGGTCTAATGTCCATTGCTTGTGTTTCTTGGCCCATCTTCTTATAGGTGTCATTCAGTAGTGATTTCTTTGCAGCAATTCGACCATGAAGGCCTGATTCACGCAGTCTCCTATGAACAGTTGATTTGCGATGTGTCTGTTACTTGAACTCTGAAGCATTTATTTGGGCTGCAATCTGAGGTGCAGTTAAATCGAATGAACTTATCCTCTGCAGCAGAGGTAACTCTGGGTCTTCCTTTCCTGTGGAGGTCCTCATGAGAGCCAGTTTCATCATAGCGCTTGATGGTTTTTGCGACTGCACTTGAAGAAACGTTAAAAGTTCTTGACATTTTCCGGATTGACTGACCATGTCTTAAAGTAATGATGGACTGTCGTTTCTCTTTGCCTATTTCAGCGTTTTTTGCCATAATATGGACTTGGTCTTTTACCAAATAGGGCTATATTCTGTATACCACCCCTACCTTGTCACAACACAACTGATAAGCTCAAACGCGTTAAGAAATTCCACAAATTAACTTTTAAGAAGGCACACCACAACTTTTAAGAAGGCAGGCTACTTTGAAGAATCTCAAATATAAAATAGTGTTTAACACTTTTTTGGTTACTACATGTTTCCATATGTGTTCTTTCATAGTTTTGATGGCTTCACTATTATTCTACAATGTAGAAAATTGTAAAAATAAAGAAAAACCCTGGAATGAGTAAGTGTGTCCAAACTTTTGACTGGTACTGTACATTATGTCTCACTTCAAAACAAACTTCCTTTTGAATTTATTTGTTGACTATCTGTTTTTCTATGTATGAATCTAATATTCAATACGTTTCTATGGGCTAATAGCATAAAGGCCAAATTCAATGTTTCATCAAATAATTATGGTATATATTTTTTGATACATAAAGGGGTCCTAAAATTCAAAATCAAATAGCTAAATGATTTTTGGTTTGACCATCTTAAAGCAATTACACGTTAGCTTAGTAGACCCAGATACTCAACTAGTCTCAAGAAGGCCAGTTTTATTGCTTCTTTAATCAGCACAACAGTTTTCAGCTGTGCTAACTTTACATTTGACATTTTAGTCCTTTAGCAGAAGCTCTTATCCAGAGCGACTTACAGTTAGTGAGTGCATACATTTTTCATATAATTGCAAAAGGGTTTTCTAATGATCAATTAGCCTTTTAAAATGATAAACTTGGATTAGCAAACACAACGTGCCATTGGAACACAGGACTGATGGTTGCTGATAATGGGCCTCTGTACACCTATGTAGATATTCCATAAAAAATCTGCCGTTTCCAGCTACAATAGCCATTTACAACATTAACAATCTCTACACTGTATTTCTGATCAATTTGATGTTATTTTAATGGACAATTTTTTTTTATTTTCTTTCGAAAACAAAGACATTTCTAAGTGACCCCAAACTTTTGAACGGTAGTGTATGTTTTTGGTGTTCAATACACATGGCTAATGTTTACAACTCCACACATTAACCTAGTAAAGACTATTGTTTGGAATTCTAATCCCTAATTCTATGGATTGGATACTATTTTGTATCCAAATACTCTACATTAACACATTTCATTTTCTGTTTTGTCTTTGGGAGGTTTTTAGGAGCTTTGAGTGCTGTGTTGAACTTTAGTCTGTCTCACCTGTGTGCTTGTCGTCTATGCCAGAGTTGTATTTGATCACAACCTCTCTATGACTAGATGGTTGGGAGGCTACTACTGTACATTGCACTCAAAAAGGTAAACGTATACTTCATTGTCTGTTTTGTCCCTGTATTTTTAGCTGCTGTATTTTTAGCTGCTGTGTTGAATTGAAATGTCTCACCTGCGGGATTGTCGTCTATGCCAGGGCACGTAGACCACCACGACCCCCATGGCTGCTATCACCTGTCCTGCCAGGGTCAGTAAAGCAGTAAAGATGTCTCTCATCAGGATGGGACTGTAACAGTCAGAGTCTAGGTACCAGTACCAGTCCTTGTTACAGCTGTGTGGATAGTGGATCGGACACAGAGGGATTTCTGGTTAGGTGGAGTCATCGAGCTAGCTATATGTTGGCTATAAGGTACATACTTTATGTTGTTATGTTATGCTATTAGCCAGCAGCGTCACCGAAAAGATAGCAATTCGGCAACCAAGTGAAGACATTTCAAGCTTTGGAGTGAGCTTACCAGTATGATCTTATCTCTGTTACATGTGTTATGTTATGTTATGTCATGTGGTCCTCTGTAGCTCAGCTGGTAGAGCACGGCGCTTGTAACGCCAAGGTAGTGGGTTCGATCCCCGGGACCACCCATACACAAAAATGTATGCACGCATGACTGTAAGTCGCTTTGGATAAAAGCGTCTGCTAAATTGCATATTATTATTATATTATGTTATAAGAACTCTTAAGATGTAATACTCTTACCTGCAGACTGGTTCGGCCCGTGACATACTACAGGTGCCGATGTTACAGTGCTTTGTCCTGTTGTGGCCAGAGGCACAGGTAGATACACAGACGAGTCTATTTCAGCTGCATGGTAGTATACCTTCAAGTTCTTATCAAGTCCGGCCTGGTTGCATACCGCTACACGAAGACAAGCGTAGGTGAAGTTAACAATTAAGTTAAAAGTTAAGTCAATGCAAGAGATTAATTGGAATTACAATTCAAGAATCGAAAACGGTTATTTATTTTCAATGAGGATATTTAAATTCTCTATACCCCAAATATGCACTATAGTATACGTACATTCTTTATCAAATGTGGCATTTTTTAATATGATACAGTGGCTTGCGAAAGTATTCACCCCGCTTGGCCTTTGTCCTATTTTGTTGCCTTACAACCTGGAATTATAGAGACATACCCCCCACAAAGTCAATACTTTGTAGAGGCACCTTTTGCTGCAATTACAGCTGCAAGTCTCTTGGGGAATGTCTCTATAAGCTTGGCACATCTAGCCCCTGGGATTTTTGCCCATTCTTCAAGGCAAAACTGCTCCAGCTCCTTCAAGTAAGTCACTTTGGATAAAAGCGTCTTCTAAATGGCATATTATTATTATTTATTATTAAGTTGGATGGGTTCCGCTGGTGTACAGCAATCTTTAAGTCATACCACAGATTCTCAATTGGATTGAGGTCTGGGCTTTGACTAGGCCATTCAAAGACATTTAAATGTTTCCCCTTAAACCACTCGAGTGTTGCTTTAGCAGTATGCTTAGGGTCATTGTCCTGCTGGAAGGTGAACCTCCGTCCCAGTCTCTAATCTTTCCCTGTATTTAGCGCCATCCATCATTCCTTCAATTCTGACCAGTTTCCCAGTCCCTGCCGATGAAAAACATCCCCACTGCATGATTCTGCCACCACCATGGATGGTGTTCTCGGGGTGATGAGAGGTGTTGGGTTTGCGCCAGACATAGCGTTTTCCTTGATGGCCAAAAAGCTCAATTTTAGTCTCATCTGACCAGAGTACCTTCTTCCATATGTTTGGGGAGTCTCCCACATGCCTTTTGGCGAACACCAAACGTGTTTGTTTGCTTATTTTTTTCTTTAAGCAATGGCTTTTTTCTGGCCACTCTTCCATAAAGCCCAGCTCTGTGGAGTGTACGGCTTAAAGTGGTCCTATGGACAGATACTCCAATCTCCGCTGTGGAGCTTTGCAGCTCCTTCAGGGTTATCTTTGGTCTCTTTGTTGCCTCTCTGATTAATGCCCTCTTTGCCTGGTCCATTAGTTTTGGTGGGCAGCCCTCTCTTGGCAGGTTTGTTGTGGTACCATATTCTTTCAATTTTTAAAATAATGGATTTAATGGTGCTCAGTGGAATGTTAAACGTTTCGGATATTTTTTTATAACCCAACCCTGATCTGTACTTCTCCACAACTTTGTCCCTGACCTGTTTGGAGAGCTCCTTGGTCTTCATGGTGCCACTTGCTTAGTGGTGCCCCTTGCTTAGTTTTTTTCAGACTCTGGGGCCTTTCAGAACAGGTGTATATATACTGAGATCATGTGACAGATCATGTGAAACTTAGATTGCATACAGGTGGACTTTATTTAACTAATTATGTGACTTCTGAAGGTAATTGGTTGCACCAGTTCTTATTTAGGGGCTTCATAGCAAAGGGGGTGAATACATACAGTGGGGAGAACAAGTATTTGATACACTGCCGATTTTGCAGGTTTTCCTACTTACAAAGCATGTAGAGGTCTGTAATTTTTATCATAGGTACACTTCAACTGTGAGAGACGGAATCTAAAAATCACATTATATGATTTTAAAGTAATTAATTTGCATTTTATTGCATGACATAAGTATTTGATCACCTACCAACCAGTAAGAATTCCGGCTCTCACAGACCTGTTAGTTTTTCATTAAGAAGCCCTCCTGTTCTCCACTCATTACCTGTATTAACTGCACCTGTTTGAACTCGTTACCTGTATAAAAGACACCTGTCCACACACTCAATCAAACAGACTCCAACCTCTCCAAAATGGCCAAGACCAGAGAGCTGTGTAAGTACATCAGGGATAAAATTGTAGACCTGCACAAGGCTGGGATGGGCTACAGGACAATAGGCAAGCAGCTTGGTGAGAAGGCAACAACTGTTGGCGCAATTATTAGAAAATGGAAGAAGTTCAAGATGACGGTCAATCACCCTCGGTCTGGGGCTCCATGCAAGATCTCACCTCGTGGGGTATCAATGATCATGAGGAAGGTGAGGGATCAGCCCAGAACTACACGGCAGGACCTGGTCAATGACCTGAGGGCTGGGACCACAGTCTCAAAGAAAACCATTAGTAACACACTACGCCGTCATGGATTAAAATCCTGCAGCGCACGCAAGGTCCCCCTGCTCAAGCCAGCGCATGTCCAGGCCCGTCTGAAGTTTGGCAATGACCATCTGGATGATCCAGAGGAGGAATGGGAGAAGGTCATGTGGTCTGATGAGACAAAAATAGAACTTTTTGGTCTAAACTCCACTCGCCGTGTTTGGAGGAAGAAGAAGGATGAGTACAACCCCAAGAACACCATCCCAACTGTGAAGCATGGAGGTGGAAACATCATTCTTTGGGGATGCTTTTCTGCAAAGGGGACAGGACGACTGCACCGTATTGAGGGGAGGATGGATGGGGCCATGTATCGCGATATCTTGGCCAACAACCTCCTTCCCTCAGTAAGAGCATTGAAGATGGGTCATGGCTGGGTCTTCCAGCATGACAACGACCCGAAACACACAGCCAGAGCAACTAAGGAGTGGCTCCGTAAGAAGCATCTCAAGGTCCTGGAGTGGCCTAGCCAGTCTCCAGACCTGAATCCAATAGAAAATATTTGGAGGGAGCTGAAAGTCCGTATTGCCCAGCGACCTGGAGAAGGTCTGTATGGAGGAGTGGGCCAAAATCCCTGCTGCAGTGTGTGCAAACCTGGTCAAGACCTACAGGAAACGTATGATCTCTGTAATTGTAAACAAAGGTTTCTGTACCAAATATTAAGTTCTGCTTTTCTGATGTATCAAATACTTATGTCATGCAATAAAATGCAAATTAATTACTTAAAAATCATACAATGTGATTTTCTGGATTTTTGTTTTAGATTATGTCTGTCACAGTTGAAGTGTACCTATGATAAAAATTACAGACCTCTACATGCTTTGTAAGTAGGAAAACCTGCAAAATCGGCAGTGTATCAAATACTTGTTCTCCCCACTGTATGCACGCACCACTTTTCCGTTATTTATTTTTTTTGAATTTTTTGAAACAAGTTATTTTTTTCATTTCACTTCACCAATTTGGACTATTTTGTGTATGTCCATTACATGAAATCCAAATAAAAATCCATTTAAATTACAGGTTGTAATGCAACAAAATAGGAAAACCGCCAAGGGGGATGAATACTTTTGCAAGGCAATGTATCTCCAACGATGGGCACTCTAAGACAGCCTTCTTGACCTGTGGATGCAAAAGAACAGTGTTTTATAAAATTTGATTTGACTTGTGATTTATCGCTAGACTGAGAACAGGCTAATAGGCCTATTCAATAACTGGTTTCTGATAATGTAAGTGTCTGTTACTGACCTGTTATGCAGTTTTTGGCCACATCAAGAATGCCCTTGATCTGTTCTTCTGACTCAGTGATGTCATTAGTTATGTTCTTCCCATTCTTTACACGCAGTAGTACCTTATGCTCCACCACGACACTGCCCTTTCTAATAGAGGGGGGAGAGGTTCCAAAAAGAGATTCCACATTCAAAAAGAGGTTCAACTTAGCTTTTAAAGTAAGTATTAAATCAACATAAATACTATCTCTTTGTTGAAACTTTTCCTCAAGTGTTGACATACCGGAGTCCTATGATCTTTATGCCGATTAAACTTTTAACAGTGCTGTTATATAGCAAGGTCATCTGAAAAACAAATGTTTTAAAAGTTACAGTACATCTGGAAATTATTCAGACCCCTTGACTTTTTCCACATTTTGTTACGTTACAGCCTTATTCTAAAATTGATTAAATACTTTTTTTTTACTCACCAATCTACACACAATACCTCATAATGACAAAGCGAAAACAGGTTTTTATAAATTGTAGCAAATTTATACAAATAAAATAACGGATATCTTATTTACATAAGTATTCAGACACTTTGCTATGAGACTCGAAAATTGAGCTCCGGTGCATCCTGTTTCCACTGATCATCCTTGAGATGTTTCTACAACTTGATTGGAGTCCACCTGTGGTAAATTCAATTGATTGGACATGATTTGGAAAGGCAAACACCTGTCAATATATGGTCCCACAGTTGACACTATGTCAGAGCAAAAACCAAGCCATGAAGTTGAAGGAATTGTCTGTAGAGCACTGAGACAAGATTGTGTCAAGGCACATATCTGGGGAAGGGTACCAAAACAAAGGACAACCATCTCTGCAGCTCTCCACGAATCAGGCCTTTATGGTAGAGTGGGCAGACGGAAGCCACTCCTCAGTAAAAGGTACATGACAGCCCTCTTGGAGTTTGCCAAAAGGCACCCAAAGGACTCTCAGACCATGAGAAACATGATTCTCTGGTCTGATGAAACCATGATTGAACTCTTTGGCCTGAATGCCAAGCGTCAGGTCTGGAGGAAACCTGGCACCATCCCTACGGTGAAGCATGGTGGTGGCAGCATCATGCTGTGGCAATGTTTTTCAGCGGCAGGGACTGGGAGACTAGTCAGGATCGAGGGAAAGATGAACAGAGCAAAGTACAGAGAGGTCCTTGATGAAAACCTGCTCCAGAGCGCTCAGGACCTCAGACTGGGGTGACTGTTCACCTTCCAACAGGACAACGACCCTAAGCACAAAGCCAAGACAATGCAGGAGTGGCTTCGGGATAAGTCTCTGAATGTCCTTGAGTGGCCCATCCAGAGCGTGGACTTGAACCTGATCGAGCATCTCTGTAGAGAACTGAAAATAGCTGTGCAGCGATGGTCCCCATCCAACCTGACAGAGTTTGATAGGATCTGCAGAGAAGAATGGGAGAAACTCCCCAAATACAGGTGTGCCAAGCTTGTAGCGTCATACCGAAGAAGACTCGAGGCTGTAATCGCTGCCAAAGGTGTTTCAACATAGTACTGAGTAATGGGTCTGAATACATATAGTACCAGTCAAAAGTTTGGACACACCTACTCATTCCAGGGTTTTTCTTTATTTTTCCTATTTTCTACATTGTAGAATAATAGTGAAGACATCAAAACTATGAAATAACTCATATGGAATCATGTTGTAACCAAAAAAGTGTTAAACAAATCAAAATATACTTCAAATAGCCACCCTCTGCTCTTGGCATTCTCTCAACCAGCTTCATGAGATAGTCACATGGAATGCATTTCAAGTAACAGGTGTGCCTTCTTAAAAGTTCATTTATTGAATTTCTTTCCTTTATGCGTTTGAGCCAATCAGTTGTATTGTGACAAGGTAGTGGGGGTATACAGAAGATGGCCCTATTTGGTAAAAGATCAAGTCCATATTATGGCAAAAACAGATCAAATAAGCAAAGGTAAACAACAGTCCATCATTACTTTAAGACCTGAAGGTCAGTCAATACGGAAAGTTTCTTCAAGTGCATTCGCAAAATCCATCAAGCGCTATGATGAAACTGGCTCTCATGAGGACCGCCACAGCAATGGAAGACCCAGAGTAACCTCTGCTGCAGAGGATAAGTTCATTAGAGTTACCAGCCTCAGAAATTGCAGCCCAAATAAATGCTTCACAGAGTTCAAGTAACAGACACATCTCAACATCAACTGTTCAGAGGAGACTGCATGAATCAGGCCTTCATGGTCAAATTGCTACAAAGAAACCACAACTAAAGGACACCAATAATAAGAAGAGACCTGCTTGGGCCAAGAAACATGAGCAATGGACATTAGACCAGTGGAAATGTGTCCTTTGGTCTGGAGTCCAAATTGGAGATTTTTGGTTCCAACCGCTGTGTCTTCGTGAGACGCGGTGTGGGTGAACAGATGATCTCTGCATGTGTATTTCCCACCGTAAAGCATGGAGGAGGAGGTGTTATGGTGTGTGGATTGCTTTGCTGGTGACACTGTCTGTGATTTATTTAGAATTCAAGGCACACTTAACCAGCCTGGCTACCACAGCATTCTGCAGTGATACGCTATCCCATCTGGTTTGGGCTTAGTGGGACTAACATTTGTTTTTCAACAGGACAATGACCCAACACAATCCCCCGACCTCCAACCAATTGGGATGGTTTGGGATGAGTCGGATGGCAGAGTGAAGGAAAAGCAGCCAACAAGTGCTCAGCATATGTAGGAACTCCTTCAAGACTGTTGGAAAAGCATTCCAGGTGAAGCTGGTTGAGAGAATGCCAAGAGTGTGCAACGCTGTCATCAAGGCAAAGTGTGGCTATTTGAAGAATCTCAAATATAAAATATATTTTGATTTGTTTAACTATTTTTTGCTTACTACATGATTTCATTTGTGTTATTTCATAGTTTTGATGTCTTCACTATTATTCTACAATGTAGAAAATAGTAAAAATAAAGAAAAACCCTTGAATGATTAGGTGTGTCCAAACTTTTGACTGGTACTGTATGTAAATGTCATATTTCAGTTTTTGCTTTGTAGCGGTGTGTAGGTATTGTGTGTAGATTGAAAAACAATTTAATAATTTTTAGAATAAGGCTGTAATGTAACAAAATGTGGAAAAAGTCAAGGGGTCTGAATACTTTCCGAATGCACTGTATATCTCAGTAAGTTACTATTATGAGCTCATTAAGAGTATATATTCATTGTGAAATAAGTGTTGGCAATAAAATGTCAGTGAACTACTTACAGTGTTAGTGAATTATTTTGTAAAATCTTGGTATTCCTTTGTTGATGGGTCTCTATACTCTTCTTTAAATGTTTCATTGAGTCTAACAGTGACATCTGTTGATACTTCAATGGTCTCTATAGGTCATTGACATGAAAAGGAACAACCTTTTAAAAAATGTTGGCAAAGTAGTTTAATAGATAAACCAGGACAGTGGTTAAGTAGATCAACCAGGACAGCATATTGCATAGGGATAGGTAGTAATATCACTAGGGCCCAGAGTTCTTCCTGATAAAGGCATGTGATAATTTACCCACAGTCACAATTATTGGAGGTGTGTAGGTCCAGATGTGGTGGGACGAGGTGAGATCAATGGAGGAGATATAGTTGGATTGGATGTAATAGATGTGGTTGTTGGGGTAGATGGAGTGGATGAAGAAGTTGGGATGGTTGGGGAAGTTGGAGTAGATGGAGAAGGTGTTGCAGATGGTGTGGTCGGCCAAGTTGGGGTAGTTGGAGGAGGTGTGGTAGATGGGGTAGTCGGGATGGTTAAAGAGGGTGTTGTGGTTATTGCTTCAGTCGTGGATATTGCTTCAGTTGTTGTTGATGCTTAACTTGGTGTTGAGGTGCCAGCAGTGCTAGTTAGAGGCTCACTTGTATCCTCAGGGGGCACTGTTGTGTGACCAGAAGTTATTGTGGAAGTTGGACTTGTCAAAGTCTCTGGGCAAGCTGATTGTTCTTGTGTGACAGTGGTTGTTATTGCTTCAGCGGGACTTGTTGTCATTTCTGCCGTTGTTGTGTGCTCATCAGGGGTTGTTCCAGTTCCCGCTGCAGTTGGCTCTGTAGTTGTACCGTCAGTTCCCCAGGTCGATGAGAGTCCAACGGTAGTGCCCGATATTTGCCCCTCTGTGACTGCTGAAGTTAGTTCATTTGTAGTGGCACTGGTAATCGTAGAAGGACTTGTTTCCGGTGAGGCACTGGTTGCAGTTTCTGTTTCACTTGAGGACATAGCTGTTGTCTTTGGTTGTTTCCGGTGTCATAGTCACTCCCGATGTTGACAACGTTGCTTCCTCTGTTGCCGTTGTTACACCAGCTGTGATAGCTGTTGATACTTCAGGAGATGTGCTTACTTCAGAAGTCGTCGTTGATGCCTCACTTGGTGCTGAGGTCCCTGCAGTACTAGTTAGAGACTCACTTGTAACTTCAGGGGGCACTGTTGTGTGACCAGAAGTGATTGTGTAAGTTGGCTCTGTAGTTGTATCTTTGGTTCCCTGGGTCGATGAGAGTCCAACGGTAGTGCCTGATATTTGCCCCTCTGTGACTGCTGAAGTTTGTTCAATTGTAGTGGCAGGCTCACTGGGAACCGCAGAAGGTTTTGAGGGAATTGTTTCCAGCGTACCATTGGTTGCTGCCACCTTTTTCCTAATAGAATCAGTCATATTTGCATTGTGTTTGTTTGGTATTTTCACCCACGTTTCTGATGTTGTAGTCCTATCTGGTAATGGAAAATTTTTATCTTCAGATATAATTGTAAAACCAGTTGATGAGGTTGGATTTTCTGTAGTTTTGGGTGGTAGATAATTAATCATTAGTGCAGTTTTGTAATAGTTTTATTACAGTATCATATTATGTATGCACTGCAATTTACAAGGTTCTATGGCTTTCAATGCAGGCGCAACTAAACTATCTGCTCATATCAGCAGGAGGCTACGGAAATACCTTTTAGGTAATTAAAAAATTGCTTATTAACATATGCTCATAGCATTGGATGACCTGTAGGACAACTGTCTTAGGTCTTTCTACATGTACACATCTATTGGCACTCTACAGAAACAGGAGTTCCTGACCTATGGGCTGTTCTTGGACAAAGCTGACATTTTATGTCTATTGTATGTTTGCCTATAGTTTGACCAGTGCTTCATTTGTAATTCGTGAGGTGCCGGAACAAAAAGTTAGGCCAGAGAGGGGTGACCTGGGGGGATCTGAGGTACCAGAACACAGTTGATAAAATATGTTGGTAGCCTACAGCAGACAGATTAGCCCTTTGCTTTCCAACCTGTGTTATCCGAAGATTGTATTTTAAATATTGCGAAAGGCCTGTTGTCTGCATGCTGATCACTGACAAATTTGCAGCACGTTTTTGACTGTAGGCTATACCTTGTTATTGGGCTACACACAATCCATAACTAGGCTATAAAAAAATAAATAAGCTACTCATGGTGTAATAGGTTATTCTGAATTATTTCATTTATTTCTGAACAGAGAACAGTAATTCTATAACTTTGGCAAATGTATTTCAATTTATCAGGGGTGCTGCAGCTCCTCCAGTACCCTTCGCACGGCTATGACTCTATAAGGAAATAAATGATGAAGTGCAACGCTGGAGAGATGAGAGTTCAGGCTCATGTCTATCAGAGCAGAGAGAGGGAGATATTTAGAAAGTGAATCTCATTCTAGTTCTGGTAGAGATACAGGCGTGCTTCTCTCACTCACCACAGCAGCAGCCACGCATTGGTCTCTAGGTTACAATGTTGCGCAAACCATGAAACAGGCCGACCCAACCGGAAATAAATTCTGAGCATATCGGTCGTGGGCTGAAAATCTACGTTTTCACATTATGTTTTTTGAAGGGGTAGGAGATTAACGAAGCAGCAACTCGAATGAGTTTTACATTGCAAAGAGTGCAAATTATTTTTCATGCCATGAGAGGTACCGGATCTGGGCAAATAGGTTCTGGAATGAAACAGTCCAAAACAGAGAGGTGCCGGATCCTGGATCCGGTTCGAATTAGGCACTGAGTTTGACTATAGAGTATTATGACTACAATTTGATTATACACATAGCAAGTTTTCCCAAGTTCTCAGGTCATATTATCATTGCCATAATTTCCCAGTTCACTCACTGATACTTTTAACATTTGTGATTAATATAATGCATGCATTTTTGTGTGTTTTTGGAGGTTCAATCAGTGCCTACGGAGGTTTAAAAAATGCCTGATAAAATCATCAGAAAAGGTAAACTCAGTTTAAAACCACACCTATCATTAGAGAATCTAATACATTTTCCATGCAACTTAATTAGCCTATCCATTAAGTATAGGGTCTTACCTATAACAGCCATCAATAAGAGAAAACTCAGTGGAACTGTATGTCCATAGAAAGTGTATTGTATTGCTGATGACTAACACTAACTTAAGTTACCAGCTGTTAACCCTAAAAGCAGCAATAGGGGTCTGTTTTTACCAGTTTATTTTATCCAGCAACTAGTTACTGACAAAAAATACCATAATTGACCATGATTACCAACAAAAATATATAATTAACATGGTTTCTGTGTTTACCATCACAAATAGTAAACTTTGTGATTAAAGCACCGAATTTGGCACAGAGGTAGATGTATGTACCCTGAAAATATATAAATATGGAGCCACCCCAGATTAGGCCCCTTGGGGGTGTGGCAGCCACTATAACTAAAAAATAACTACAAGCATTCATACCCCTTGACCTATTCCAAAAAAATGGTGTTACAGCCTGTATTCAATATATATTTTTTAAATGCACCCATCTACACAAAATATCCCATGATGATGAAGTGAAAACATGTTTTAGGAAATTTTTGTAAATCTATTAAAAATGAAATACAGAAATATCTAATTTACATAAGAATTCACACCCCTGAGTCAATACATGTTAGAATCACCTTTGGTCTTTCCGGGTAAGTCTCTAAGAGCTTTGCACACCTGGATTGTACAATATTTGCCCATTATTCTTTTCAAAATTCTTCAAACTCTGTCAAATTGGTTGTTGATCATTGCTAGACAACCATTTTGCCATAGATTTTCAAGTAGATTTAAGTAAAAACTGGAACTCTGCCACTCAGGATCATTGACACACTTCTTGGTAAGCAACTCCAGTGTAGATTTGGCCTTGTGTTTTAGGTTATTGTCCTGCTGAAAGGTGAATTCATCTCCCAGTGTCTGGTGGAAAACAGACTGAACAAGATTTTTCTCTATGATTTTGCCTGTGCTTAGCTCCATTCCGTTTCTGTTTTATCCTGAAAAAAAAACGTCACAGTCCTTAACGATTACAAGCATACCCATAGCATGATGCAGCCACCACTATGCTTGAACATTTGGAGAGTGGTACTCAGTAATGTGTTGTATTGAATTTTCCCTAAACATAACACTTCGTATTCAGGACAAGAAGTTAATTGCTTTGCCCCAGTTTTTGCAGTATTACTTTAGTGCCTTGTTGCAAACAGGATGCATGTTTTGAAATATTTTCATTATGTATATGCTTCCTTCTTTTCACTCTGTCGATTAGGTTCGTATTGTGGAGTAACTACAATGTTGTTGATCCATCCTCAGTTTTCTCCTATCACAGCCATTAAACTCTGTAACTGTTTTAAAGTCACCATTGGCCTTATGGTGAAATCCCTAAAACTGTTTCCTTCCTCTCCGGCAACTGAGTTAGGAAGGACGGCTGTATCTTTGTATTGACTGGGTGTATTGATACCAGTGGAGGCTCCTCAGAGAAGAAAGGGGAGGACCATCGTCCTCAGTGAATTTCATAAAAAAAGATTTTTTTTTTAACATTTAAAAAGTTATCCTTTTTAGATAAAACTATACTAAATATATTCACGTCACCAAATAATTGATTAAAACACACTGTTTTGCAATGAAGGTCAACAGTAGCCTCAACAGCACTCTGTAGGGTAGCGCCATGGTGTAGCCGGGGGACAGCTAGCTTCCGTCCTCCTCTTGGTACATTGACTTCAATACAAAACTTAGGAGGCTCTTGTTTTTCACCCACCTTCCATTGACTTACACAGTAAGGACGTCCTCCAACATATCATAGCTCTTGCAGCATGGACTGACATGTTGTCCACCCAATCAAAGGATCTAGTACTGAAGGCATAAGCTATAGCTAGCTAGCACTGCAGTGCATCAATTGTGTTGAGTAGAGAAAGAAAGACCAAAGTTGAACAGTTTTCAACAAATTCCTTTCTTCAAAAATGAAGGAGAAGCAAGAGAGAGATTTTTGTTTCAGTTTCAGTTTCACTTACTTAGCTAGCAAATGCAGCTGGCTAGTTTAGCCTACTCAAACACCTGGCTGAAACAGAGGGATGCTACAGTGAGGGAAAAAAGTATTCGATCCCCTGCTGATTTTGTACGTTTGCCCACTGACAAAGAAATGATCAGTCTATAATTTTAATGGTAGGTTTATTTGAACAGTGAGAGACAGAATAACAACAAAAAAATCCAGAAAAATGCATGTCAAAAATGTTATAAATTGATTTGCATTTTAATTAGGGAAATAAGTATTTGACCCCCTCTCAATCAGAAAGATTTCTGGCTCCCAGGTGTCTTTTATACAGGTAACGAGCTGAGATTAGGAGCACACTCTTAAACGGAGTGCTCCTAATCTCAGCTTGTTACCTGTATAAAAGACACCTGTCCACAGAAGCAATCAATCAATCAGATTCCAAACTCTCCACCATGGCCAAGACCAAAGAGCTCTCCAAGGATGTCAGGGACAAGATTGTAGACCTACACAAGGCTGGAATGGGCTACAAGACTATCGCCAAGCAGCTTGGTGAGAAGGTGACAACAGTTGATGCGATTATTCGCAAATGGAAGAAACACAAAAGAACTGTCAATCTCCCTCGGCCTGGGGCTCCATGCAAGATCTCACCTCGTGGAGTTGCAATGATCATGAGAATGGTGAGGAATCAGCCCAGAACTACACGGGAGGATCTTGTCAATGATCTCAAGGCAGCTGGGACCATAGTCACCAAGAAAACAATTGGTAACACACTACGCCGTGAACGACTGAAATCCTGCAGCGCCCGCAAGGTCCCCTTGCTCGAGAAAGCACATATACATGCCCGTCTGAAGTTTGCCAATGAACATCTGAATGATTCAGAGGAGAACTGGGTGAAAGTGTTGTGGTCAGATGAGACCAAAATCGAGCTCTTTGGCATCAACTCAACTCGCCGTGTTTGGAGGAGGAGGAATGCTGCCTATGACCCCAAGAACACCATCCCCACCGTCAAACATGGAGGTGGAAACATTATGCTTTGGGGGGTGTTTTTCTGCTAAGGAGACAGGACTTCACCGCATCAAAGGGACGATGGACGGGGCCATGTACCGTCAAAACCTTCCCTCAGCCAGGGCATTGAAAATGGGTTGTGGATGGGTATTCCAGCATGACAATGACCCAAAACACACGGCCAAGGCAATAAAGGAGTGGCTCAAGAAGAAGCACATTAAGGTCCTGGAGTGGCCTAGCCAGTCTCCAGACCTTAATCCCATAGAAAATCTGTGGAGGGAGCTGAAGGTTCGAGTTGCCAAACGTCAGCCTCGAAACCTTAATGACTTGGAGAAGATCTGCAAAGAGGAGTGGGACAAAATCCCTCCTGAGATGTATGCAAACCTGGT